GAATTAGTTGTAAATTCTCTGGGAAGAGATCAAGGCAGCAGCATAAACAGCTCAATTAAACTGTCGGCTCAATGCTCAATGAGCAGTAATGGTCAAAACAAAGCCTTTAATCTAGATACAGAGGATTATCTTTTGACCAGTAATGAGATTCCTAAGATTAGTTGTACCTGAGGAGGAGAGAACAACAGCTGGCTCAGCAATACCACAGACAGGCTTGCATGTCAGCATGACTGAGACTTGTGTGGTACCTGGAAGCTACGACCTTCCTGGAGCCCCCTCCCGATGCTGCGAAGATGGGGATGAATCTCATTCTGCTTTCCCAGACTTAAGAGACTACAGTCTGGGAATAGAACCCCAGAATACAGCAAATCTGACATACCCTACCTCTAGACCAAAACTAATAGCCACTAGCACCAGTTCCGAGGCACACAGAAATGTCAGGCTTTAGCCCTCTGCCATCCTACCCCATGATCAACCACTCACATTCACTCATTCATTCAACAAATATTTATTGCATGCCTACCAGGTGTCAGCCACTGCTCTGGACTCTGGAGATATGCCGTGAACAAAGAGGAAAGATCCCTTTCTCATTGTGGGGCAACACAAACAATAAACAAGAAAAATAAGTAATATATGCTGTGTGTATAATGGAATTGAGTGATACTCGGGAAACAGAAGCAGGGAAGATGGATAGGAAGTGTTGAGTGGGGTCAACAATTCTAGATATGTTGCCCAAGGAGGGGCCTCACTGAGTAGTGACATTTAAATAAGACCTGAGAGGAGTGAAGGGTGAGCCATGGAGACAGGTGGAGGAAAGCATTCCATGATGTAGTGCAAAGGCCCCAAGGTGAGTGTTCAAGAAACAGGAAGAGGCAGCCTGGCTGGAGCAGGAGTGAGGACAGAAGAAGATGAGGGCAGGAATTTAAGGGAACTAGATCATGTAAGTAAAGCCTTATGGGCCACTGTAAGGATTTTCTCATGTACTATTAGAGAAATAGGGACTTATTGGGGTATTTGAGCAGAGGGCCTAAACAGATCATTTATTTTTTTGATCCCTGGCTGCTGTGTTGAGACAGAAGCAGGAGAATGGGTAAGAGAGTACCGTAATGATTGTTAGATGGGGTGGAAGCAGTGGAGGTATGAGAATTAGTAAGATTCTTCATATTCCTTGCTGATGGGTAGGATAGAGTAGGAATAAAAGAAGGTGTAAATGATGACTGAGAGTTTTGTTTTAGATCTTCACCGAGCACTAATAACTCCCAATCTATGCTTCTGGCCCAGACTCCTGCCCTGGGCCTGGCACACAGCAGGGGACTGACTGTGAACATATGAAGGATCAAAACAAAAGAAGTAGATGAGTCTGTTGGGTTGGTGGCATCATTTTTCCAGGCCTCTACCAATGATATAGTCTACCTTGAGATACTGGAAGGAGGTATAGAAAAAAGAGCTGCCATGTCCCCACCTTGGTCTAGAGTGAGTAGTTGAGAGAGGGCAGAAACAGAAACAGAGCCACACCTAATCTTTGCAATAAGAAAATTGGGGAGGGGATGAGGGGAGGGCAGGAGGGCCACACAAAAGTAAAAAATGCCAAAAACAATGGGCATAGTGTTGAGTTTTGATGTCAAGAGACTGGGTACCAATCCCAGCTGTGCCTCTTGACTCAATCTCTTCCCTTCACTGGTCCCAGTTTTCCCTCTGGGAAATGGGGAGGCTGCTTCTCTAACCCTTACAGTGTTCTGATCCTTTTCCTGCAAGTCCCTGTCTCCTCAAATCATTTGACACGCTGTTTCTCCAACATCGACCTTAGGAAACTTTTCTGTTTCCTTTCAGAATGATAATTTCTGACTCTGAGTCTTGTAAGATATGTTTCTACTAGTTCCCAAAGGAAAATAGCCGTGTGTTTTCTGCCTGCTTGAAGTAAATACCACCTTAAGCCAGTTACCCCATCTGTAAACTGGGAATGACACCAGATTGCTGGAATTGAATAGGGTTAATTATATACAGACCATGTAGGGGTTGAGCAGATATACAAGTGCTCTGGAAGTTCTTGGCATAATAGTATAGCATTACAATAATTTTGGCTTGCAAATTATAGCCCAGCAGAGGTATCACATGGAAAAGTGGGTCTGACCCCATGGCCTGCTGAAAATGGAAAAAATAAGTTGTGAAATATAACTTCTCTTCCTAAACCTTTGAAAAAGGCAGAGATAATTCTTCCATGTGCAACCCACATGTAGGGAACAAATTTTCAGATCCTGGAGAGGATTTTCTTGTCCTAGGTCACCTGGCCTGCTGCCAGGATCTGGCTGATCCTTCTTCCTGAGCCTAGAAGCAGAGATGGGAAGGGAGGTAAGGTAGCCTGACAGGATTGGTGGTTGGTTGAAAGGTGGGGCTTACAATGAGGATGTCCTTGCTTTTCAGTTTTTCTATTTGGGCCTCCTTTACTTGCAGACCAATTAAGTGCTTACAGAGCAAATGAATGACTTAAAGGGTAATTTGAGATATTTAAGTCTAGGGATACCCAAAATAAACATCTTAGCCCAGGTCGACTTCTGGGTCCTCCCACTGACCCCTAGACACATCACACACACACACACACACACACACACACACACACACACACACACACACACGTTTTTTTCCCCTGTGAAATGCTAAATAAACATATTTCAGGCAATGAAGGAGCTGCGAATTTGGTGATGGTGTCTGTGAGTGTGGGGTCATATAGCGGGTCTGGAAAATTTAACCGGCTCATAGAGGATGACAGTCCTGTCTGATCAAAGAGAGAAAGAGCAAATAACTTGATCCTTAAGGGACAACTTGCAGTCAATTCCATGACATCGCTGTGTGGTTGGGTGGACAGAGCACAGGCTTTAGAGTAAGACCCAATTTGGAGTCATGATTCTGCCACTTGGCAACTGTGGCCTCAGGCAGAGGAAGAGGCAACAGCTGTCTCACCCTGGCCAAAAGAGCCTCTGGACTTGCTGCCTGCCTTAACAGGTCTCACTTTTCCTACAGGATATAGGAAAAATAGACTCCCCCAAAGCCCATCTATAATATACAGGTAGCAAATGGAAATTATTAAAATTTGGGGCTATCGTCCTAGTAAATCGGCATTCTTAGAGAATTTCTCAGGCCTCAATTCTTACACTTTAAGGTAAGTCACGTTCTTGGGCTTGCCCGGCCACATGCAGAGGAGCGACAGCTCTGTGGCAGTTAAGTCATCTCCAGGCAGCTCTTCTGACTCTACCGGGAGCATGTCACTGCTAGGAAAAGCATGTTGTACCCTTCCTTCGGCCTCAATTTCCTCTTTTTGGTTAATAATCAAAAGACGATCTTAAGTTGAAAAATAGAGACTAGTGTAAATGACATCATTTTGGGCCCACCAGACCGGAGAACTGGCACCCAGGCGCAGCTTGGTGAATTTCTCTGGGCCTCAGTTTCTCCATCTGCAAAATGAGGGCTCTGGATTAAACCGAGTCTCGCCAGCTCCTACAATCTTTGGCATTAAGCTTTTCCACAGCTTGCTCTTCAGGTTGGCCATGAACGAGGTTAAACCCACGACTTCCTCAGAGGTGAAAAGGTAGGTAAACATTCCAACCTCCCCTTAACCTGGCTCTCGGATTGGTGCAGGTCAGGGGCCCTGCCACCAATCCTGGCTGCATCCGTCATCTGGATGGCTAATACACTCATTCGCAGAAAGATTCCTCCGAAGATCTGGCAAACCGGGGCTGAACCGGAGTCCCCGTCCCTTTAAGAAGGAGACAGGCATCATGTCCCTAAGGGGTCTCTGCACCGCTTTTCCTCCGCTCGGGTCACGTTGTAAACTAGAAACATACCCTGTAAATCCACCTCAGCACCCCACCCAACAGTGGGGATATCTGGGGTGCACAGCGCGCGGGTCCCTAGGGATGCGGATGGGTTTGGTTTCTGCGCGCTGCAGGCTCAGGCTGGCAACCTCTCGCCTTAGGCGGCGGCGGGCTGCGAGAGGCGGGGCTGGCTGCGCCGCGGGACACCGGCGCCCTCAGGCACTACTCGCGGGCTGGCGCCGAGGCGGCCGCGGGAGGTGGCGCGT